TGTTTCCAGTTGTACTCAGTGTATTATGGTGCTTGAATTAATATCTGTTATATTGTGTATTTATTGTAATGTTAATGGTAACCAGTTTTTTACAAATTTTATACAATGTTGGAAGTAAATAGGTTGCATATAGAGAACTTTTGATATTTAAATTTTGTGAATGAATCTAGAATAATGTACTGTATTGCTATATTTTTGCGCATTCAAATTATCTTATTCATTGAGAAATAAAGTATTACTTAGACTGAAAATTAGAATTTGTATTATAGTTTTTGTTATGTAGTGTTTGATTATTTTGTATGTGTTAATAGACCAAGAAGATATTAAATGGATAAAAATATTACTATAATACTGTTACCTCCTTGCTTTACCTTTCCATATTGAGTCAAAACAAAAAAATAACAAAATTAATACATTGCGATAATTATAATGTCTATACGGTTGTTTTTTTAACAATTGTTGTAACTGCTTGAAAAGACAAAAAATGATTTGGGATATTAAGTCACAGAATGTTTAGTCATTCTGCGATCCGATTAACTTCTACTGTAAGGGTAGCCGACAACCTATTGTCTTTGTTTACTCTTTGCTCTACCGTACCCATGCTCTACCAGCTGATCATTCGAGACAGAGCATCACGCAACAGCACAATGACATCATCAATTATGGCTACTTGCGTGTAAGCAATCAAACCGTCTTTTTGTTTTTAAATTTCTTCATAATATACAAGTTTATCGATTAAAAATTGCCAATAAAGAAGCCCACAAGGAACCGTGATGAGTGAGCTAACTCCGGACGAGGTATTTGTTAATAAGTGTTTTTATTTAATGTTTTAATCGAGTTCTTTTGTTTCCATTCATTTCTAAGCCTAGCCTAGACAACACAACACGTAACCATTCTGCTACACGGAAGAAAAGTTAGCCGTCAGCCTGTCGTTGGTTAGTGCTAGGCTAGGGTGGAGCGTAGCGAGTGAGGGCTAGGCTAGGTAGGCAGATAAGCCACGACTAATCGAATTAATTTATATATTTTTAAGGAATATTTGTTGGCGCGGTTTGCCAAATGAAAATACACGCTGTCTATTGGTAGAGGAAATATATATTGTTAATTTGTAGTTGTTTTTGTAGGCATTTTTGTCACATAATTTTACACATTAATTCCCGGGCCTAAGTTAGGCCTACTACTGCAGGCGTTAGTTTGAAAATGAAATAGGCCTAGGCCCTAGAGAGGGTAGGTCTACTTACCTAGGCCTATGGACCTCTCTCTACGGCCTAGGTTCTATATCTTAATCGGGCCTAGATAGGCATGTGCCTATATACTACTATTTGTAAAGCTTGAATATTGAAAAGCGTAACCAATTGAGGTTTTGATTTTAGGTGAGACGTAGAAGACTCGCAAGACTAGAAGGAGGTGTAAGCAATTCAACCCCAGTGAAAGAGTCAAAACCAGCAGTCGAACAAGACACTCCAGTTACGAGTAGGAAAGGTGAAACATCACAAACACCAACAAATCTAGAAGGTACCTACCATTGCTTTGGATAAGTTGAAGCATATGCTTAACTGCCATCATTCTTCTACTGTACATAAAAATGTATCGACATTACTCATGCTTCTTCTACAATTATAATTGTAGGAATCCCAATACAGTCTCCTGCAAGTTACGGAGGCCTCCCTACCTGAAAAGTGGTTCAGTCTCCTGCATTCCTCAAGCAAGCATAATTACCCCTTAAACTGACCCCTCTCCTGTAAATTTAGAATCATGTTGTCCTACAAACATACATATTTGCGTATGTTCTTACACTGTCATTTTGTGGTACCTTAACAACAATATCAAATTGGCAGGGCTTAGCAAGAAGGTTCATTCATAGACAGAGAGTAAAGATATGCAAAGGGGCCACAGGGATTTAAAGTTCCTCCTCGTAGTAAAGTTTTTGAATCATATGAATTCGGTATTAGTAACATACAGTAACAATTTCTTTTCAAACTGTTTCAGATGAGCCTGACTGTGCAATGCAGAGCCTGGATAGTGGCCTAGGCTCTCAACTGTTGCAGAGCCTAGATAGCGGTCTGGGTTCTCAAGGTGATTCTCTCCCACAGAGCATGGAAGTTGATTCACAACCTGCAGATGAAGGGTCAGTATTGTGTTGTGTGTGTGTACTAAATGATTTAGATGTGTGTGCATGTCTTGTCCGCTACACAGTGTCTCTGGATTTCCTCACAGAGACAAAAAAATAATGGTTGCAAGGTTGTGTTTACCATGGTTAGAAGTTGAAATATTACTGTAGTAGTACTTGGGTTACATTCAGCCCTGGTGTAAGTTGACATAAATTGCTATGATATTTTGCAAGCTACATGCTACTTAGCTTTATGTATAAGCCTACTTCCAAACTTATACTGTACATTTTCAGGCAGAAATCCTATACCTCTAGGCTTGATTTTGTGAGGTCAGGCTAAACAAATCTATCTTAGCTGCAGCTAGCCCTACAGTCTCATTAAGGCAGTAATCCCAAGTAGGAAGAAGTCAGTTCCGGGAGCAGGGGTTGGGAGGGCCCCGTCAGGGAGAGCTTCCCCTTACCTCGTCGGGAGAAAACCACAGTTCGTCGGAGAGAAATAAATTATATGTACGGTATTTTCTACATTTTAATAGAAAATTGTCAAACTTTGAGGTTCTTCGCCCCCTGGATATATTTTGAGCAACTCCCGACTACACCCAACTCGGGACATCTGCATTGATGGATCCAAGAATTCGCAATAGGGGAGCAGAGAGGGGCTTTCACAGATGTAGGGTTTATACCACCTCAACCCCACCATGGTTGGGCTGAGGTACAAGAAGAAAATTTATTATTATGCCACCTCTAGATGGCCGTAAATAGCACTTTCAGACTGTAAATTTGAATATGATTTTCTTTTTCCCTCCATTTAAAAAAAAAAAAAAATTTTGGGGTGGGGGTGGCAGCAGGGACTTCCCTCTTCTGATCTAGTTAATGAGCTTTCATAACATTTAATTTTATTTTGCTGCACATTGCGATACACATTGGCAATGACTTCCGTAAGACAATTAATAATAAAGCAGGGAAAACATGCAAATATTATGAAATTGCAGGGTATGGGTTAATTTCCAGGAGATCATAGCTTGCTTGCGGGAGTGCGGGTGGCTGTCCTAATTTCCGGGAGTCTCCCGCGAGTTTCGGTGGACTTGGGACCCCTGTTATTGTTTGTATTTTCTAGTCTTAAGCACACCCAAAATGTTTGCATAGTTTTGTGTTCAAAGGAGATTAACTTTTCCTCAAAACTGTCAAATACATTGATATCGTTTACTTGTATATTTCAGGAGCTTTTCTCAGATGGATGTCGATTCAGGTATTGAGAACCCAGAGATGGAAGAACTTGAAAAGAAAGAAAAGATGTCAAAAGAACTCTCCACAACTTCGCAAGAGAACATGATATCAATCATCTGCCGAATCTTCCGGGTGTCCTACAAAGAGCCGCAGGAGGGCACTTTCTTCCTGCAGGAGCTTTCCGCTGACTATCAAGCAGATCCCATCCAATGTATGTCTTCCAATAATATTATACAGTACTCACCATATTTGGGAACTGCAGTGTTTAAGTAAGGGAAATGTTTACTGAAAAGAGGTTAAAAATCAACTTAGCTGTCATTCAGTTTTAATGTAATGTGATGTGGTTGGATTTATATAGCGCTTTATACCGAAGTATCAAAGCGCTCGAGGTGTGGACTAGCTCGCACAGTAACTTTCTTCTCCCCTAAGCGTCTGACTACCTGGTAAACCGGTCTTGTCTGTCCACAGCAGGAGCTGTATGAACCAGTACACCAGGGTAACCCCTACTTGTCTCGAAAGATGTACTGGGTTCTTTATAGTGCACACACGCCATTATGTACACTGGGGCTTCGGTTTATATTCCTTATCTGAGAAAACTTGTTCCACCACCAAAACCATAGGCGAGTGTGCCATTCGAACCAGCGCCGATATTGTAGCTGTAGGTTGCGGCGCCCCCTGCCTTAACTACTTGGCCATCCAACTTGGCACAATGCGAAAATCAAATTAATATGTTTTCTTGTCTTTGCAGTCTACCAGAGTTTTGAAGACTTGATCAGTCAGATATTGATGGAGGTCCTTGTGTCACACGCATCTGGTGACAAAGAGAACGAAAGTAAACTCACACAAATACTTAGCAAGAATTATGATACAGTACCTCCAGGGTATGTTGTAGTAGATATTCTTTCTACATCAGTATTCTTTTGTATCACAGAACCTTAAACTAGTCATGTATTTAAGACTTTCTTCTGTCACACACACAACAGAAAGATGGAAATTTGAGCTGAACATTAGCACATTTGTAGAAAATTGGCTAAACTTTAGAAGTAAGAAATGTTTTGTTAACATAAAGTTTTACGATGTGAGTTTGCGCCAGGAAATATCATAGGAGTGATGTTTTGCCCTACCCGACGTATTACTGTCCCGAATAATTTAGTGACGCAAAATCACATCGTAATAGCATTTGCAGTACCCGCTGCTACTTAGGGATCGGATTCTTCATTAGTCACTAAGCGCAAGCTCAGTAGTCTAGTGATTATGGCGCCAAGCTATTTATCTGGAGTTCATGGGTTCGATCCCCACCCGAATCACTTGGTATTTGGAAACGTACTGAGTATTTGGTACTATTCTAATTGCTTAATTATTAAAAGTTATAAATCAAGTATATTTTGATTTCATGACCAATCACCAGGTTGTTATTTCTTAGTTAAAAAGTTCAATTGAATGCGAACAGCTTGACTCGGTTAAATATTTCTCGTGCATGCTAATACCACGTGCAATGCTGACCTTTCTGCATAATGAATCCATAAATGGACTGACCATGCATGGCACAAAATCTTGAAACATACTGCATAATGTATTTAAATACAAGTGCAAGATTTGACCAAGGAAGGTTTACCTTTTGACTTTTTCAAAATTAATTCAATGCAAACACTGTATTAGTAGTGTCTTTGTATTTATTTAATAACATTTATATACCATAGTATCTCAATTCACTATTCATGCTATGATATATTTTTAATAGAAACCTATGAACTGTATATTTATTTATTTAATTATAAAAGGATATTTCTGATTCTTTTTGATATTCAGGTTCACTGCAATTCCTGAGGAGACCCTGCAGATGTCACAAGGCAGGGAATCTCAGATCATCACCTACCTCTTAGAAACTTTCAATTTGATCAACGTTGAAGAAAGGACCTTGGGCAAGGTATGGAACACTCTCACTTCCTTATCACTCACAGTAATACAGGATCTCTTTATATGTTGAATTCAGTTAATGTTGAATTTTTGGGGCTTGTCATGCTAAATCCAACATTAGTGACCAAAGCAAGAAAATCTACTTTTTAATATATTCATATTCTCCATGTTTTAAAATTCTTAACAAAAGGTCATCTACTGCAATCAAATTACTTTTGCCAAAGTTATGAGTAAAAGTAATACGGCTTCCCTGTACAGCAGTGTACAATGCTGCCATATTTTTATGCTAAATACCGTACTCAGTTTTATATTTAGCGACATTCTGGTCTTAGGATGGCAAGACAAGCCTCATTTATGTTCTTTTTCCTTATAATCAATGCTTTCTTTGCTGTTTTTTTTAATTTACTGACATTCATGAGGATACTGCAAATTACACAAAAAAAATTAATATTTGTTGATAAAAGAGATGAAGACAATGATAACTGGGTTGACACACCTTGTGGTAGGTGATCTCATCATTCTCATCCCATTTGGTATGACCCTTAACCTGCTCATCCACCTTTTTCTAATTACCTCATCAACCACATCTTTCATCTTCATCTTCATCATCCATTTCATCATTTCCATCATTACTTTTAGATTTTGTCTGTGTCTATACTTGTTCACAAGCTCTCAAGTGGTGATTACTTTCTGCTTTTTTTGTTTCTGGAATTTAATAAAATAATTATTCATCTCTCCTAACACTTACACTATCCAATGTAATGTATGTTAAATTATTATCGGGCCGTGCCAGGAATTCCCCGACAAGGGGTCCAAGCTCCCCGACAAGGGATCCACACCTAGTATGGACTCTTCCTCCAGTCAGGGAAAAATTAAATTTGTTGGGGATTTTTTTTTTAAATAAAAAAGCGTTGTGTTAATTATGGGATTCTTTATTTGAAAAGGATATGAAAAATACGAAATTATTGCAATCTCTCATTGACATCATAGTGTCAAATTGACATCAAAGTCAAATCAAAATTGAAGTTTAACAAAAGAGGAGAAAAATATTAAAAATACATCACAAACACAACACAAACACATAAAAAAAAAAAGAATAAATCTACAATTAGTCAATTTAATTAGGAAAAATTAAGTTATGAATTCAACTACAAAAACAAATAATTCACTAATTAGTTAAAAATTTATATGATATTATATTTACAATTAAAGTTAAAAGATTATTGCAACAGGGTAAAAAAAAAAATCAATAAGACAACTCGGATCGACACCTAAAACCAACCAAAAACTGGCTAATGAAAAATAAAAAGAATAACTCATCTAAAAAAGACCTCGTCAGAGAGGAGGGCCCAGTTGTACAGGGACAATTTACCAGTTTTTGAATAAACCAGCATTTGTTATGAAATTCTTTGAACGCTCGGTTTTTATTCTAGGGAGAGAAAATTCATGTTAGTACCTTAGGTTGTAATGTGCCTCCCTAGCTTTAGACAAAAGATGATTTAGCCTATACGTTGAGGATTTGAGCTTCTGGAAATAGTCCCTGCACATCTGGGTGCGCCTCTCTGACAGTAAAGGGATATTTAAGAAAGACCTTGCAAATTCGTTGCTAACACCTGGTAAAATAACCCCTAAAGCCATACTTTGGCTTTGTTAGGCTGTTTACTCTGTGTTTCAGTGATACAATTTCCCCAAACTGGAGTTGCATATTCTAAAATGGGACGTATAACAGCATTATAATAGCAAAACATACCCGGGACACATAGGCCAGATCTGCGCAATCGTTTAAGGTAATACAATCTAGTATTACCTTTGCGGAAATCATGGTATCCACTTGAAATATTAAGACCTAAAATTAGCATTTCAACAGTTTTATTGGTATTGATAACCATATGATTATCAACAGTCCAATCAACCGCCATATCAAGTGTTGACTGGAGTCCTCTAGATCTGTCTCTGCCAATGCGCTCATGGACGGTAGTGTCAACCATAGGATGACTCGATAGAAAACCATGCAAGTTAAGAGTCCCCTGTGGAGGTACTAACCCCTTGTCGGAGGTACCAGCCCCCTGTCGGGGAAAAGCTAGTACCCTCACTGCAACCCATACAATCACAATAGTATACAGCATCTCGCACATACGGTAGCACTGCTCGAACTAAAAAGTTTTTAATGCCTTAAATTTCACAGCTTAGTAAGGCATGCTTGAATTGGACTTTCGGAACTCGAGATTTGATTTTTCCCTGATGACCTTGCTGTAAATTCCATGACAGTGTGTCCGGGGGGGGGGGGGGCCTCCCCCCTCCTCTGCCCTCCCAGACTCCCTGCTAACCCCTCTTCTGATTATTATACTCACCTTGTAGACTTCATGTAATTGATAGTTTACTCATAAATTGCTTTTTTTTTATATCTTCTCAGAAAGCAACACAACCCCCAGTTAGTGAACTATTGTCAAATGTCAGACATCAGTGTGTGCGACACTGTATTCTGGTGCTACAAGGAACTATTACAAGACCAAGGTAAGATACATTTAATGATTACAAAATCTTATAGTCTAGTGTGCCACACTCTGCATTGTTAGACGGCATAGTTGTTATTATTTACCTTCTCTCTTAAAATGTAATTATGGTTTTTTTTTTTTGGTTTTTTTTTCAGAGTGCCATCTCACATATCTCGTCTGGTACCATTCATGTTATATGCGAAAATCCCACGCTCATTTCTTCAGGAATTAATCCAGTCGACGTACCAAGATAAGGACACCTTTAAAAGTGTTAGTTATTAATTTCTGTTATTAGTAGTTTAGCTGTAGTGTGATGGGTAGTGGTGAAGAATAATGCTGCCTTCCTGTCCATTTGTGATTACCATGAACACAATCCATAAACTACCGTAATTATGCATTTCAATTTGTTGCTGCTTACGGCACTCATTATCAATTTTGGATGCGCGAAAACAAAATATATAGCCTAATAACTTGGCAAGTCATGATTACCAGTTGATTATTTACACTATTAGTATTATTAAAATAATTTTTGATGTTTTATTACCATTGAGTTTAAATTGTTTTAAATTAATTATAAATATTGCATTTTCTATTGTTTTTATATAGTGTATAGTTCCATTCTTTTAACAGGTAATGAAGCCAATTTTAATTGGGTTGATGCAAGCAGCTCAGATTTGTGGTTTGGACTCTGAAAATTTCCTTTTACCCCTGAAAGTAAGTAGATAAATCCAAACACAAACACTGATGAGTTGTTATTCAGTTAATAATGATAATACTGTCAATTTTGGTGACATAATACATTATGTTTGATTTTGATAAAACAGGATTAAAATAATTTGATAAAATATTACAAGCTGGTTCTTAAACTATCATTGTGTTTGTTTATTTCTTTGATAGGCATTGAGTGAGCTGGTGACTATCAAATGTGGCAATAAAAGACCCATTTGTAACCTGGTAAGTTATTGTAGCAAGGTCAGTTACTACTACTGCTGCTGATTACCACTATAGTATTAAATATAAAACTGCAGCAGTGTTTTTTTTTATTTCCTTCACATCCAACAGCGAGTACACTTGCCACTTACAGGATGGAATGATGCTTTATAAACTAAGTGTCTTTTTGAGGCTTAGGGAGTGGAGTTGTTTTGGTCGTGAGAAAAAGTCCTGCTGTGACAGGAATTGAACCCAGGACACTGGGATCAGAAGGCAAGCATCTTAACCACTGAGCTATTCAACTCCACTCTCATTTAGCTGATTGATTTCATGTAACAAATTTTGGATTTTGGATTCCCCCAGGAAGCTGAGTATGTGTTCCTCAGGTTTCGATCCAGTGACTGGTATAAGAATGTGGAGTAGAGTTGAATAGCTTGGTGGTTAGATGCTTGCCTTCTAATCCCAGGGTCCTGGATTCAATTCCTGTTAGGGTATAACATGGTTTTTCCTTACAACCAAAAACAACTTCACAAAGCCTCAACATTTAAAAAAAAAATGTCTGAAAGCCTACCTTTACTTGGAATCATTTCAAATTTAACTTAGTTGAGCACCTTTGAACATTATTAATGGATGCAAGTGCTATATAAATGCATTTTAATGATTGATTAATTGAACTCCACTCCCTAAGCCTCTTAATGAGACTTAGGGATAATGAGTGTATGTAGGGCATCTTGTGTTTACGTTTTGCCTTGTGAAGGGATTGCCACTTAGAAAAGTGATTAAGTTCGCTGTTTGGTATAGCCTTGGTCTTGGACCTAAAACAAAAAGAAATGTGAAGCGCTCAGATACTTGTGTAGAGCGATTATAAAAATTGGTTAAATTTATTTATTTATTTTTTAAAATTTATTTCTTTAATTAGACTATATTATTAAATACAGAAACAGTAAAATTTTCCTGATTCTTAATTATTAACTGTTAATATAGGTGGTTGAGTTGGACAACTGGATGTCTCCACCAATCACGGCGGCTGTTGGAAGCTGTCTCTTATACACATCTAGATGTGTATAAGAGACAGGCTTAGTAAGGCATGCTTGAATTGGACTTTCGGAACTCGAGATTTGATTTTTCCCTGATGACCTTGCTGTAAATTCCATGACAGTGTGTCCGGGGGGGGGGGGGGGGCCTCTGCCCCCCCCCACCCCCTTCCTTACAACCAAAAACAACTTCACAAAGCCTCAACATTTAAAAAAAAAATGTCTGAAAGCCTACCTTTACATGGAATCATTTCAAATTTAACTTAGTTGAGCACCTTTGAACATTATTAATGGATGCAAGTGCTATATAAATGCATTTTAGTGATTGATTGATTGATTGATTGAACTCCACTCCCTAAGCCTCATAATGAGACTTAGGGATAATGAGTGTATGTAGGGCATCTTGTGTTTACGTTTTGCCTTGTGAAGGGATTGCCACTTAGAAAAGTGATTAAGTTCGCTGTTTGGTATAGCCTTGGTCTTGGACCTAAAACAAAAAGAAATGTGAAGCGCTCAGATACTTGTGTAGAGCGATTATAAAAATTGGTTAAATTTATTTATTTTTTTAAATTTATTTCTTTAATTAGACTATATTATTAAATACAGAAACAGTAAAATTTTCCTGATTCTTAATTATTAACTGTTAATATAGGTGGTTGAGTTGGACAACTGGATGTCTCCACCAATCACGGCGGCTGTTGGAAGAGAAATTGAAAAGCTTTCATTTTTAGGTGCTTTCTTCTCATTGTCTGTTTTTGCTGAGGATAATGTAAGTAGTAGTATTTAAGTTTTTACTATCATTATCATCATAATGATATAGTTATCAGTATCATCATTAATGTCATCTTCATTATCTTTCACATTGTAACAATTGCAACAGTAATAATAATAATAATAATAATAATAATAATAATACAATAATTAATAATATAATAATGATACAATAATTAATAAATATAATTGATTTAATTGCGTATAATATAATGGTTTTTTTTTTATCTTTTGTGAATTTCTAATGTTCCAAATTTTAATGTATTTTAATGTTACTTTTATCTTTTGATTGATGTTTTGATGTTTTAATATACAATTTTACCTAAATATTGTGTAATTCACCCTTGACAGCGATTTTGATGTAAATATAATAAACTGAAACTGAACATCAGGATGATCATTATCTTTGTTATCATTGTGTTCATCGTCACATCATTGTCATCGACTTCATCAGTATCATAATTACAGTTGTCACTATTATATTCATTATCATTTCTCTTAACAGTTTCTAGATAAAATTTCTCTTGATCATCAAATTATTTTGATCATCATTTATCTTGATTATTGTTGTCATCATCTTTTATTCATTATTTTCATCATCATCTTCAGCACCTTCATCACTATCTAGGTTATAATCATGACAATTATCACCATTGTATTCATCATCCCCTTCAACTCCTATTGTTAATTAGCATTTCTTGACTACCGTCATTGTCATCATATGCCTCTGTCATTGTTATGGTGATTATCATCACAGTCATTATCAATTATCATCATATAGAAACTTAGTAATTGTAGAAACTTCCGTTAGTTTGTGGAATTGATTCGATCACATTCTGAAATGATTGTTATTACTGATTTTCAGACCAAAGTTGTTGACAAGTACTACTCTGGACCCAACTTAACACATGAGGGCACCAGACTCACACACCAGACACTTAGGCATATCTTGTCAAATGTCAGGGTAAGTAAACAGACTCAAGTAACTGAAAAAAATATGATATTTTTGGTAATGTAAAGGTATATTTATGAACAAATGTAAACAAAATGTGTTGGATCATAGTGCCATAATGTTACCATTTTTATGTTAGATTCACCATCTTTTATTGAATACGTCTTTAATGATTGATGTACTAATTTCTCTTGAAGGTGGAACTGTACACAATAGCTCACACAATGTTAGTAAATGCAGAAACGCGCGAGAAAACGTTAGTGTACCTGGCAACTATTCTTCAACGTAACCAGAAACGTGCCCAGATGCAGGTGAGGACGAACAGACTTTTACTATCTCCTTTGTTTGATGTGTGATACTTACATAAATAATTATTCACCATTATTTTCATGCCTGATTATTTTATTACCATATTTATTTGTTGGGGCATTTATTGTTGAGAAGGGTTTTTGAGGAGGCGTTTAATTTTATTCATAGGAGGCGTTTATGTTTTTTTTTTTGGGTGTAAAATGGATAAATATGTACTCAAATAAATGTCCCTTAATTTCACTGTGAATGTGGAACTACCACACATAATTACCATCAAAATGTGACTGCGTGATCATTTAGAATTAATGATCCCAACCAGGTTAGAAAACCATTCTACATTCTACAGGAGTAGAACATTAATAGAATGTGTTGAGAATTACGTTTCTTCCTTTAGATTTGTTTACAGTAATTTAGGGGGGCGTTTATAAGAGGAATGTAATAAACACCCAGGACATTTATTCAAGGGAGCCGTTTATTCCAAATGAGGCTCTAGAGGGGGTGTTTATTCAAAGTGGGGTGCTTATTCGAATATATAAGGTATTTACTTTATCATTAAATTAAGCTTTGTAAAATCTTGTATTCAACAGGCAGAAGCAGCATTGTTAGCTGGCGATGGGTACATGTTAAATGTTCTCGTAGTTTTACAGCAGCTCAGCGTTAAGATACAACTTGAAAAGGTAATGCAACAAAATTGAACTACGCTATGCCAATTGCCACTTTAAGCCTTTTCTACCCTACACCGTCAAATGCTACCAAGCCATTGTCATATTTGTCACCTTATTTTGTGTAACCATCTAGCCATGTATGTATTATAATTTTATATTGTATAGTATTTTTGATAGTAGAAGCAACGAAAATGTTCTCAAACATGTTAATTGCACGCTCAGTGTGTTAATTAATCATATTTGTTTATTACAGGTGAATGTTATGTATCCTTTTCATCCAAAATCACGTATTGATATCTCCCAAGAAACCCGTATGCGGGCCTCAACACAGGAAGCAATTGAATGGGCGCAGAAAATTGGTAGGTCAATTTCCAATTTAGTAAACACAAATGGAATGCTAATGCTATGTTTTTAACCATATTTATAGACGGTGATGCTTCCAGTGTATCCTAGAAGGTCGGCTGATATTCTGGGGCCCTTTTAAATAAATGGAATAATGTGATGCTTTTATCAGTGAAGTCTCTTTATGAGACTTAGGGAGTGGAGTTGTTTTTAGTCGTGAGAAAAAAATCCTGCTGTAACAGGAATTGAACCCAGGACCCAGGGATTGCAGGCAAGCATCTTAACCACTGAGCTATTCAACTCCACTCCAAAGTTGAAGTGAAGTTTCAGAATGAATGTTAAACACCAGTTAAAAAACAAAATACTATTTCATATTTGAGTCTTGATAAGTAACTACAAAAAGAGTAAAGCCCTGTCCAACCTATCAAATATTATTTGACATATTACATGCCTAAATATGGTCATGATGACATCACATCATGACTATATATAGGCACATTATGATTATATATGGGCGTACACCAGTTTGACAATCTGGACAGTGCCTAACGGGAGTAACATGTTGATGAACTAATGAATGCATATTGATTTTTCAACAGACCCATCAACGTGGGAGGAACCCAAGTTCAGTACAGAATGCTACTTTTTGACGCTCCTATGCCACCATCTGGCACTTCTACCTACTTGCCGTTTCTACTCTAAACGATTACGTGCCATTAGGGAAGTGAGCCGATTGACGGAAGAGATACAATCTACAGAGTCCCAATGGAAGGGAACACCGAGTGAAGCACGCAAGAAACTGCTTCTGGAAAAATACAAAGCACAGTTCAAGGTAAATTGGCATTACACTGCGAGATATTTCCCTACTCTTTTTTAAATAGTGTACTGCGTTCTTTAGTGCTCATAGGTCATATTGCACAGTGAATTTACAGCTTAAACATAATGGTGTACTATTGAAACTTGCATTTCAGCCCTGTAGCTGAAACAAAAATAGGGATTGAACTGGTGACCAATGTTATGTAAAGATTGAATGTTCACACCAGTGGCTACCACTGGTTTAGACATTACAGCTAAGCTACACTCTAAAATATATAAAAATTCATTTTGTCATCCAAAGCTATGAACAATTTACTTTCCTCATGTATGAAAGATTACAAAACGACAAATTTTGTTATTATATTATTTTTTGCATTTCAGAAATTAGTTCAAGCAAAAGCATGTGCTGATGGGGGCCTTCTTGACGAGGCAGTGTTAAGAGGGAGTTATAGATTCTATGGTCAAGTTATGCAAATGGTTCTGAACCTTGTCAAAGTTAAAGGTCAAAGGTTAGTTTTCTTTATTACGTTTTTTACAAACAAGTGCTTACCTTCAATACAGGAAGAAAAAATTAGACAGGCATTTGTTAACCTATTAACATTGTATTAACTTTTAACCTTCTTTTGTTGCCAGTATATCTCTACCTCTACCAACTGAAGTTGCTATGGAGTTTGCCTCGTTGCCAGAATGGTACATGGAGGATATAGCAGAATTTATTCTATTTATTGTACAGTAAGTTATACAGTTATTATAATATTACTAAGGATGATGAGGACAGCAAGGACAATGACGATCAAAGAAATGGTCACTGACTGGTTGATTTTAATAACATCGCCAGCGCCTTGTATTCCTTGGCAAAGGCGAGGTATAAATCTCTATATTACATTTAAACTCACCTTAAGTTGAAATATTGTCAAAGTCGAAATTATTTCCATGTCACTTCATGGTTAATAGTTAATAGTTCATATTTGCTCTAACTCGAATAAAATTTAAGTCGAATAAAACGAAAGTCGAACATATTTTACATGCCAAATTGATCTGTTTTCCATTAATTGTTAGTCCGTAAGTCAAGCCAAAATCTTGACGTAAAACTTCAATTATTTTAAGCTGTCGCTGCTTTACCAACATCGCTGTGAACGTCAACAAGTGACTTATACATTTGGCAATGCAGAAATTCACACGCTATTAAGTAAGCCCAACAAGTGACTCGTGTTTACATTGCATAGCGGTACTTTGTGTAGTTTATTTTACATGCAACTTAACTCACATTCCTCACTATTGTTCAGACATGTGGTAAAGTCAACCAGCGATTAATGTTTAAGCGCTGTTTTTTAATACAGTAAATTTAATTGTATTGTAAGATACATGCAGTAATTGTAAAATACGTACAGTAATTGTAAAATAAATGTCTTATGGAATTTATGTATAGGGAATAACTCATCATAAAAACCAAATAGGCCTATGCTAGTTATATCTTCATCCCGATCTTCGTTGCATACAAACTATCTGCAGATCATCACCTGCATTCCTCGCGATGCAACGAGAAGCAAGCATGTGCATGTGTAGTAGGCGATTTTTGAACGGTCCATTTTGTGGCGGAGTATGCACATCTGGTTTACTTACGATTAATACATGTGTTGAATTATATATATAATAGACTTTCACCTAGTACGTATTGGTTTGGTCTTTGGGATTTTCCAACCGAATTTATCATATTTAAAGCGTGTTGGCTGATGGCCATGCAAAAATCAGTTATTAAATGTTAGTTTATCAAATATAAATATAATTAAGCTTTAATTTAAGTATTGACTGTTTCCTCTTTATACTGTATTCAAAAGAATGGCATAAAAGCAGTTAACAAAATATTTAAATATACTGTAATAATTGAAGAATTAATGTAATGTATTGCTACTCAGAAGAATACTGCTTTCAAGGTAAGTTTAGGTAGCCTAGGCCTTTACTTCTACAGTTCTAGGCCAAATGTGGGGTCAACATCGTGCGTTTACTATCAGTGCGTGTTAATTTGTTTCGGTCTTCGTAAGGCCTAACTCTCCAAGTCAAGTTGATATTGTGATATAACTCGAATAAAATTTGACTTTGCTTCAGTCGAATTTAATTTAAGTCAAACTATATTTCAGTTGCACTTTAGATTCGACTTAGGCAAGTTTGACTGTATTATATTATTATTATAATTAATTTGTTTACAGCAAGTAATTCAGTGTGCACTCAAAAACATGAAACATTTCTTATATTACATGCTTATTATTATAGAGTTTCAGTTATTGATGGTTGTAGAGAATCACCAGTTTCAAAACAAATTTAAATGTTGCCTTACGGCTTAAACATTTTTCATTTTCGTTGTACATTTTTACAGGTTTTCACCTAACATATTGCAAGACACATGCCTACCAACAGTGATCACGTTCCTGGTGGTGTTTGTTAGCTCCGCAAATTACATTCACAATCCTTATTTAGTAGCTAAGCTTATTGAGGTAAGTACATCTTGTGACTTTTATTCAACTTTTCTCCCATGATTGTAATCTATTTTGTAAATACCTACTGGTATAATTTGTTCCCTTTGCATATCTTACCGTAAGTGCTTGAATAATGGTTTATTCAAGCATTTACGATAATGAAATTATTTTTCCTAGCATGTCGAACATAATTATATATAGTAGGCCTACCTTCATAATTTGACCTCTTCCTTCACTTATGCAAGATTATTTAGTTAGGGTGCAGTGTTGGAAGATATCTTCAAGCTGATCAATCTTGGTGGTAGAATGATAGCAGACATAGTTCACTTAGATTGATAAGGTCATTTAAGAGAATGATTGGTAGTGTTTAGTGTGTAATCTCCCTCTAAATATTCATAATTGATATTTTGGAAGTAAAGTGCTGTGTTTAGTAATACATTATAATGATATACATTTTGGTATACTTTATTCACATCAAGAAACATACATGACATACAGAGCTTAATTTGCTTATGAATTTACAAAAAAAAATTTACTATTAAAATACAGTTATTAGCATGAGTTAATAAATAAATATGTCTGTTTTCTGCACAGGTTCTCTTTGTTTTGAATCCAGCAATACAAGAGAAAACAAAGCAGGTATTTGAAGACATAACATTGCATCCGATGTCATCCAGACACTTGGTACCGGCTCTTATGAACTTCTTTACCGGTAAGGACTGGCAGATCCAGGAATTTGGAATAGAGGGGACCCAGGGAGGGACTTTCACAGATAGAGGTCCATCCACCTAAGCCCCACCATGGTTGTGGCAGAGGAAAGAAAATTTATGATTATGGCACCTTTAGATGGCCGGAAATAACACTCTCAGGCTTAAATTTGACTATATTTTAATTTTTTCCTCCATTTTAGTACATTCATCATAGTAAATTTCATCCCCTGGGCCGGAAATATGGCTTGCTGCTTTCTTTAATTACAAAATTATTTCACTTTAGAAATACATAAAAACACTAAATGTAAATCCCAATTAATAGGTATTGTTTGCATAACAGTCAGCACCATTGTTAAAGAAATATTATCACAAACAGAATACATTGTACTGTACATCTTCTGGGTTTACTACGTATTATACACATCGTAGTGACAAAGACAGAAATAATTCTAGCTTCAATACTGTATACAGTTACTAAGCTCAAACTGATTTACCATCCAATTTAATTTCCTCTTATTTCTAGATATTGAAACCACAGGTGCTAGCAGCGAGTTTTATGATAAATTTAGTATACGTTATCATATCAGCATCATATTCAAATCATTGTGGGAAATACCATCTCACAAACAGGTCATGGTTCAACAGAGCAGGTCAGTCTGATGATATTTTTGCACTTTCACCTAAGGTCAATATGTCTTTATGAATATAGGATGATGTGTGCTATATAGAAAAACAGAAATCATATATATGTATATTATTGTTATTGTTATATTGTTGTTATTATAGGTCTCCCTCCAATTAAAGATCACCTTTGGGACCGGGGTTTTGGTGGTCTTTAGCAGTTTTGGTCTCTAATTAGAATCCCTCTAATTAAAGACCGGCACTAAAAGTGGTCTTCAATATCAACATTTAGAGATTTATTCCAAGCGCGTTTGGATTTACAGTTACTGTATGCTGTTTTGATTCTTAATAAACCATTTCTGGGTATTCACACATCAAGTCCTGCACTCGTTCTGATACTTAAATCTAGATATTAGACTTGCAATATTGTAATTTTGTTTTTAGGAGGAATCAGTAAACCAAAAGTTTCCCAGCACAACAAAATTATTATTCTCTTTTGTTAAGTTAGAACAAAATTTCAACCTTTGTTTTATTTAAATAAGGACATGAAATTTTATTTGGATAGGAAAAATCATTGTTTTGTATTTTTTGTCATATTAAATTGCATTCTGGGTAATTTTTACGTCTTATTCAGGTTTCTTGTTAACAAATACGCAGCCGTTTTGTGGAGTCAAAATGCGGTTGCGATGCATTTCTTATCTTGTTAATCCGATAATCAACCAAATAAGAGAACCATTGCTATCTCCGACCGATTTTTAGTAATAATTAAGAAATAATAAATTAAATGTTTATAATGGATGTAAAGTTACTGCATGCTGTTATTTATTCTTAATAAAGGATTTCTTTGAAATCCAGACATCAATTCCTGGTTTTGTTTTAAGCAATTTTCCATTAAAATATTACTATCACCACTAACATTATCATTACTCAATATACACATCATCTTATGATGTGCACTGGCTAATATGTTTATGTTTTAGGCCCTATAACAAAATTTATTATAGAAAAAATAAAATTAACATCACTATTTTAATTTATTTTATGATGGTCTTTAATTGGAGGGAACATTTTCATTTGAATCCACAAAAACCATGGTCTTTGGTCTCTAAATAGAGGGAGTCTTTAATTGGAGGGAACAGCTAATGTTAAAAGATAGGAATTCAAATGGGGGCCACAGAAAAGTGGTTTTTAATTAGAGGTGGTCTTTAAAGGCCAACTCAGACAGCGTCGGCCGACGCAGCCCGACGCCCTGCACTCGTTCTGATACTTAAATCTAGATATTAGACTTGCAATATTGTAATTTTGTTTTTAGGAGGAATCAGTAAACCAAAAGTTTCCCAGCACAACAAAATTATTATTCTCTTTTGTTAAGTTAGAACAAAATTTCAACCTTTGTTTTATTTAAATAAGGACATGAAATTTTATTTGGATAGGAAAAATCATTGTTTTGTATTTTTTGTCATATTAAATTGCATTCTGGGTAATTTTTACGTCTTATTCAGGTTTCTTGTTAACAAATACGCAGCCGTTTTGTGGAGTCAAAATGCGGTTGCGATGCATTTCTTATCTTGTTAATCCGATAATCAACCAAATAAGAGAACCATTGCTATCTCCGACCGATTTTTAGTAATAATTAAGAAATAATAAATTAAATGTTTATAATGGATGTAAAGTTACTGCATGCTGTTATTTATTCTTAATAAAGGATTTCTTTGAAATCCAGACATCAATTCCTGGATTTGTTTTAAGCAATTTTCCATTAAAGTATTACTATCACCACTAACATTATCATAACTCAGTATACACAAAACATCATCTTATGATGTGCACTGGCTAATATGTTTATGTTTTAGGCCCTATAACAAAATTTATTATAGAAAAAATAAGATCAACATCACTATTTTAATTTATTTTATAATGGTCTTTAATTGGAGGGAACATTTTCATTTGAATCCACAAAAACCATGGTCTTTGGTCTCTAAATAGAGGGAGTCTTTAATTGGAGGGAACAGCTAATGTTAAAAGATAGGAATTCAAATGGGGCCACAGAAAGTGGTTTTTAATTAGAGGTGGTCTTTAATTGGAGGGGTTTTTAATTAGAGGGAGACCTGTATTTTTTGTTATAAAAAAGATTTTTTTCCAGTGAGGGTAAAGACTTTGTGCGGTTTGTTAACATGCTAATGAATGACACCACATTCTTATTGGATGAGAGCCTTGACTGCTTGAAAAGAATCCATGAAATACAGGAAGCGACGAAAGACAAAGAGGCTTGGAATAGCCAATCAGAGGTAAACAACAGTACTCTTGATTCTTCACTACCATAAATTGTACACAACTATGAGAGTGATTGGTTGATACTGTGAGATAAGTGATGGACTGTTTCATATTTATATTAAGTGGAATGGCTGTAGCTTTTTTGTTATCAAAATGCAAAGTTGAACTGTTCCATTTATAATTCACAGTTTATCAGTTCTCTATATAAATAGTTATGAGTGATTAACTGTCAACTAATATACTGTAGATAGATAGTTTGTGAAATTGAAATTAAATTTAATTAAATGTGGTATTAATTCAGTATTAATAATATTGTAATTAATATTTTAAAATATTTTTTTATATTTTTGCTACAGGAAGAGCAGCAAAGAAGGTTGAAGCAGCTGGAGACGGATGAGAGACAATGTCGGTCCTACCTAACACTTGCCAACGAAATGCTTGAGATGTTCCACTACCTCACTCGTGACATCAAGACTCCATTCTTAAGACCTGTAAGTTGTAAACCTATTTGACCCCCAAGTAAATAGCGGTGTCCCTCAAGGGTCAGTGCTAAGATCTACTTTATTTATACTTTTTAATAATGATAATAAAACATCCCTCATCCTCAATTGAACTGTATGCTGATGATGCTAAGATCTTGTAAATAACCAAGAAGATGTAGATGAACTCCAAGAAAATTTGGATAAGATCCTAAATTGGAACAGTAGTGACTGGCTAATGAAATTTAACATTGGTAGAGGTAAGGTAACACACTTCGCTCACTCAAACAAGCTTTTCAAGAGTTTAAAATATGTAGTCTAAAATGCTAAATACATAAAGCTTACCCATATATTTAATCTAATCTAATCTTAATCTAATCTACAATTGTATGAGTTTTACCAAATTTACCCGACTTGATTTTGAGTTTACCTGCATTTATATGAATTTACATGAGTTTACAATTGCCTATTACGAGGCCATCTCCACAGGGTTGTTTTTCTTTTTGTCTAGCTATAAATATGCCACTAAGCAATCCCTTACTCTTGCCCAATAAGCATTAATTATATTTAAAAAGTGCACATCCAAGAGAAAAAGAGTGTACTTGACCAGATTAAACTCAAGGGGAACAACGATACAATAAAAAATAAAAAACTACCTTCTGGGGTTTATTAAATAGTTTTCAGTTAATTCCTCAGTGTCCAGTTCTAAGAAAATGCTTTAATACTTCAACTGGTTTGTTTTCATCCAGGAGCTTGTGGCTAGGTTAGCAGCCATGTTGAACTTTAATCTCCAGCAATTATGTGGGCCAAAATGTAAAAACCTAAAAGTAGAGAACCGTGAAAAGTATGGATTTGAACCACGCAAGATGCTTAGCCAACTGGCCAGCATTTACCTGCATCTAGACAGCGAAGAGCTAGCTGCAGCCATTGCTGCTGATGAAGTGAGTACCCCTACAATTTAGCAGAAAAAAAAAAACACTCTAGAAATCTACCTCCTTTATAATTAGTATTTTGATTTTAAAATGCATTTACACTTTTTATTCCTGCTTACTTGCATTGCAGCGTTCCTACAGAAAAGAATTGTTTGATGATGCAATAACAAAGATGCGCCAATATAACATCATGACGTCAACTGAGTTGTCACGCTTCTGTGACATGCTTGAACGAGTCGAAAGCATTATGGTCCAAAATAAACAGAAGGAACTTGATACGGAAGATGCACCAGATGAATTCAGAGGTGTGTTTAATTGGGTTTTGTTTTTAAAGAGCAGCTTATCTCAGGCATCTAAACTGGAGGTAGCTAATGTGTGTGCACTGGACCATGGAGATCATTGTTAACCTTTGGTACTCGGTTCAATTCCATCCGTTTCTCGCCTTGTGTTTCAGCTAGATGATTGTTGTGCAAGCATAAAAAACTGCACCGTCTTTCAAAGGACAGAGTAGAATAACGTTTTCAATTTTTCAATTTTATTTGTACCATCAATGAAGTAGAGATGAATTCAATAATGACATTGGCTGTATTTGACTGGTCATTCTTCGTTAAACCACACCCACCTGCGCAGTAGTAAAATCTTACTTAACGAAGACGACCAGTCAAATAGAAAACTGGTAAATACTCGACAAAACAAAATGGCTGCATAGTTACCGCAATACACGCTGCGTAATCAAGGCTGCTTCAGATTGTGGCAGTATGGATTTTTCGTAAAAAAAATGTTTTCATCCAGTTTTTGAATTCTGTTAGCCTACAATTATTTTTTTACTTCATGTTGGTAAATATTATAATTTTTATTTTCTGAAATTTAATCTAAATTATATTAACGCAAGTCTTGTTATTAAACTGACCAATTGGCCATGTTTGTTTTGGTCACGTAGATAACTTAACGCTGATTAACGCACTCTGGTTTATGTTAATTTTCGTTATTAATGAAGTCAATTTTACGAACCAGTCGAATGAAAATAGTACTCAACGAAAAATCATAGTCAACGAAATGAAACAGTCAAATAAGCCCACTAGATTGGTGTGTTGGATCGAAGTTCAAAACACTGCCTGCTGCCCACTAACTATTCTCTGCTACCAATATATGATATTGATGATTTTTGCTTTTAATTTTAATTTATGTTTCATGTTTCAGACCCATTGATGATGACCATAATGAAAGATCCTGTTATACTACCACCATCAGGGACCATCATGGACCGACCAATAATAGAGCGCCACCTTCTAAACTCCCAGACGGATCCTTTCAATTTATACACATCTAGATGTGTATAAGAGACAGAGGTAAGGTAAGGATAACTTTCTTAGGTAAAGATCCCTGTATGAGTCTTCAGCAGCTTATTATATTTTTTTTTAATTCTTAATTTTGGAAGGGGGAAAACCTCTCCTGAAACCCTCCACCGGCTGTGCTCCCATGTTGCTGTTCTCTTTGGCATTAATTTTTTCAACATTTAGGAATCAAAAAACATCATCAAATATAAATATGTGATACCACAAACAATCCACTATTGTTTTTGCACTGTAAGATCCATCAAAGAAATCTAATTTATTCTTTGTTTCTTTTTTCTTTCAGCTACAGACCTAAAGGATAGAATTGAGGACTGGATTAAAAGCAAGAACGTATTATGATGATTATGATTGTAATTTTGAGATGATGATTATCCAGTAAATATGAGATGATGAAGATGATGATGATGTTGAAGACAATGATGATGTTGGTGGTGATGATAATTATAATGAAGAGGAGGAAGATAAGAGTGATGATGGTTGTGGTGGTGATTGATGAAGATGGTGTTGATGATGATGGGTGTGATGGAGGTGGCAATGGTGATGATGTGGTAGTGATACAGATGATGATAGATTATTGGGATGATTATTGGGATGAGGAAAATTACTATGGGGAGGATGACTAACATGAAAATAATAAGGATCATAAAATGCAGATGGTACTGATGATGTTTTGCAATCAAATACCACTTTTACTGAAGTATCAAATTAAATACCTTTTCTCCATAGCCACCATTCTGAAAGTATTACCCATGCATTTGCATGCTAAAAATGTTTAAGTATATTTATATAATCAAGGTCCAAGGGTGGGAGTAGAAGTATGTATATATACTATCACTAGTATTAGTAGTAGATATGGTAAAACTGAGTATGATGAATTTTTTTTTAGCCACTCTTTTTAATATAAAATTGTCACTCAATACAATAAATATAAATAGCTATGAAATTTACATTTGTTGACAACAGGTAAATGGCCTATGATTACAGTTTTCGGACAAGAACTGCGATTCATAATTAGACCTCTGTCTTTAGATGCCTTTAAAGAACAGTCCTACCTCTTTCCTAGAGGTATCGTGAGCATCATGCAGCTTAATAAAAATTCTGAGGAGACCTCTGGGCACAGCCCGATACAAATGCCATATTGTTATTATTACTGTACAGTTGAACTTGCCTAAGTCAAAACCAAAATGGCATTGAAAAATTGTTCGACTTTGATAAAATTCAATTTACAGATTCTTCTTGATTACAATTTGGCGTGTAAAATAAGATCGACTTCAGAAATTATTTGCGTTGGGCAAAGTCGACTTAAGCTAGATGTACACTAGACACGATAACGACACGACGACGACATATCATCGGATAGTTTGTATTCTTCAACACTGCGCACATCTGTATTTTGTCATTGTAGTGTCGTAATCGTGTCTAGTATAAATGTAGCTTAAGGCAAGCTTAACTATAATATTAAATAGCCAATATCAGCAGATACATCGCCTCTCGAATCTGTTGTTAGATTGGCGTAGTGTTGAGGCTTAGCGTCACCCAATGTACATTCTCAAGTACAAGTCTGTATTTTGTAGCTTGTTAACAAACACTGTATTTGTATATGTTTATAATGAGCTGACCAAGACAGAAAGAGATAAATATTTTTATTGTGTAATAGCAAAAATATTCCTGTTTGTCTCAGCTTGCCTCTTGTCTATTCAACCTCGTCTATATTAAGTTGTGTTACTTGTATAATAAATACATCTATAAAATATATGATGAGATAATGTGGAGCCTTAGAATGCAGTTTGCTGGTGAATTACACACTAATATACTTTTCCGCTAAGTCCCACAATTGTGTTGTTATGGCTGATGTCCCACATAAAATTTGTGTTGAACATGCGTGTTCTCCCAGGCCCGTACTGATTGGTCTATTTTTTACACTCCAGAAAGGTACATTATCTGTAAAATAATATAATGTAAGAAACCTCTGGTAACTGTTGTTAGTGTGACTACTCCCAACAATCTGTTAATTTTTTTGTCATAATTAATTGTTGAATCGCCGTGCCATGATTAACATAATCTTGGTATAGATACAGGCACTTGAAATTCTCATTTTTATGCAATTCATTTATATTTAAATGAATGAAAATACTGTAATAATAAATATAACAAGATTTGTTCAGAAAGCATGTAAGAAACTTGTGTACTATCTATTTATTATTTAATATTTACTTCATGTGAAAATTAATATCTGATTTTAACGAAATTACGATTTTTCTCTTTGTTTATTTGACCTTTTAATCTGAGGATGATAGGTCAATATATAATGATCAAGCTTTAGCTTATTAATGCAAATGTTTGAAAGCCACCTTTCAAATAAAGTTTAAAGGAAAATACTTTAAATTTTCATTGTTTTAATTCTACAGTGTCTATGTTCTGTAAACTGACTTGTTTCAAACTCTTGCGAAACGGTCTTGCAATTAATGGACTTTTTTAGCTAGCCCTGCCTCTCATGTTTTGCTCCTCACAAAACGTACGCAAACTGGTGTGTTTATAGGAAAAGGGCGTATTCCTGGCCCTTTTCTGATTGGTCAATTGTTTTATTTTAGGCTACGCTCCTGAGAGGTCTGTTTCAAACCACAATGTACATTTCTTGGTACAGGTTAATACATAATCCAATCAATGGTGAATTTAGAGCGTGGTGAACGTTGTGCTTCTCTTGCTCTTCCGTCCCCTTGCCCCACTTATTATAAAAAAATATCCAACCAATTTAGATAAGGAGATTAAAATGGCTGGAACTCTTGAGCTTTCAGAGCACCCACTGGTGGACCCCATAATAGGTAGAGCAACACCCTCCGTCCCGTCGGACCATATGATCCTAGATTTACACTTGCTCCCTCCCTCAACCACCGTCAATATGAGGTAAGCTACTACAGTATTTTAAAACTTAGTGTAGACGTTTATATTAAATGTACAATAGTAATTTACAGTCAAAAGCTCTCGATGCATGGACTCCCTCGTAAGTACTGTATATTGCTTGCATCTGGTATCATTAGGTTAAAACTCTTAGCTCGTCTGTTCTGTTGCTTTCTATAGAATAAATTGATTTAATGAGACTTCCATTATAGATACAATTTCAGATCTCAACAAAAGACAACACATTGAATGCTTTGTCTTCTGTTGATAGGCCTATTTGAAATTTGTTTTATTTTATTTTTATAATTACGACAGTGCTGTATAAGAACCAATCGAGACCATTCATTCATTCTTCATTTAGCCTTTAATCAAAATCAAAATAGGCTTACTGTCCACTTGGTATGCCCACATACAGTAAAATGTTAAATAAAACATAAACCAAAACTGAAATTACAGATAATCTGTGTAAATACTGTATATGGAGGCAAGGATTAACCAAAGCAAATCCGCTGTACATCACAAGCCAGTGTTAACACGGCTGTGTACAAATAATGTTGACACTAGGTAACTGCCCAGGTGAAACAAAATAGCCTGGAATGCAACTAAGACAGACGAGTACGTAAGTAACCAAAATAACCTACTAAAATATTAATATGAAACATTGTCATGGCATTTTATTTAGTGATAACAAAACGGTGTACATCCTAGTACAAGAGTTGTGTATGCCACCGTTCTAAAGGTGAAGTGTCAATAAATAAATAATAAACTAGTTGACAGCAACGTTCAATTAGCCAATCGGAATCAATATTGAATACATCATCTCTATTTTCGTTTATTGCTGTGACGGTGTTGGCCTAGCCTGGAACAACTTATTGGTGGTACGGAGTTTGTTTTGTATTTTCGCAACTCTTAGCGCATTTTCATATGATATTTTATCGCCAAGAAACTATTTTCAGTACTATCTCTTGTTTTAGACAAATTTCCGAAGTAACATTTAGATTGTTTTCGCAATCGAGGGCTTTTTTGTAGACACTCAACCAAGAGGAGGGCAGGCTACCCGCTGTAGCTTCGCGGCTACAGACAGGGCTAGCCAAGCTGGCTGTTGACTTTTACTTACGGTAGGCTTCGGGCCTAGAATAGTGAAGATTGTCGAGTGACACTGAAACTCGATGATGTCACTTCGTAGCGTCTTTTTGAGAAGCAGGCACCTGCTGGGCCAGTTGGTTAAACACAAGAGAGCCCAAAATGATAGGAAACATAAGTTTGCATCTGGTCGTCACTGCCACCAGATTCGAGAAGATTGTATAAAGCCAAGAGTAATTCGACGGTATGCCAATCCCTTCCAAAGATATGGGCTCTTCAGAGCTCTTCCAGAAGCAAATTTTAAAGGTTTTGCCTCTTTGTTGCGACGCAGTGCGACCATGCGTCTGATGGCTTCCCGTGATCAGGTTCTAGGAAGGGGTTCACTCTTTGCGTTTGTTGGCATCTCAATGGTTGGAGCAGGAGGAGTAGGCCTAGATTATGAATTCAAGAGTGGAATGAAGGAGGAGAATGCATATGATGAATTTTGCTCTATAATCAGGGTATGTTGTTATTGTTGGTGGTAATTGATGTCAGTTTGTAGTAGCAGATTCAAGGCATTACAAATTTACTAGCAGTGGCCTATGTTAATGTAGAACCCACATTTGCTAATAAAAAAAAGGACAATTGTTAATGGTTATTACCATTGATAAAAATGTTTTCTCCATGGTTTTACAGAAGGACAACTGTGTATCATCAAATCAGTTATTAAAACCAGATACACATGCACTTAAATAACAAGCAAAGGGTAACCCATTTTATCCTTTAACTCCATAAAGTGATCATTTTATAGGGGAATGTGGGTAATTGTAAAAACAGTACCAAGGTCACTGACCATGGCAAAAGATTCATATTTTATTTTGATGTATATTAATCAGTCTATGGACACAAACATAATGACGTTCAATGAGATAAATTTACAAATTTAATGTATTTTTATTAACAAATTATTTACTGTACTTGTCAGAATGCTTTCCAGAGAGAGAAACAGGAGTCAACAGCAGATCTACCAGACCATGTGTCTGGGTACGAGTTCCACAATAAGCCATTAGGCAATGGCTGCAATGGGCTTATATTTGCAGCCCGTGTGAAAGAGAAGAAAGCTGTAGCCATCAGCAACCAGAATGAGGAGACAAAGGATGATGATTGGGTTTTACTGAACGAACCAGGGATTCAAGAAGAAGATGATGGATGGAATGTGGTAGAAGTTGCAAAACATGAAGAAAGTGCATGTCGGGTCGCTGGTGAGAAGGAAAACAAAGTCACATACCCTGTAGCTCTCAAGGTTATTTCAATTTTTAAGAATTAATAATTTTAAAAATGCATGTGGATTGATCAAATATGAAACATAACCCATTAAGTCTGACAGACACAATCCTAGAGTTATCAAGCTTTATTGTAATGTATCTTCAGTTCACCTGCTCAAAGGCAGATCCAGGGGTTGGAAAAGTGGGAACTTGCAGGCTCTAGAGGGAAAAAATCGGATGTTCAACCTATCAACAAAATTTTTCCTCCAGAGCCTGACAGACAAATTCCTAGAGATACCCAGTCTTAATGTACTGCCGATCACCAGTGGCAGATCAAGGGGTTGACAAAATGAGAACTGTTAACTCTGCTCTTACTCTTCAAAACAGAGTACGTCTCCCGCAGAAAGGTGGTTTTTAAAGTCAGGCTCCGGAGGAAAACATTTTTTTATATGTTGTAAAATTGATTTTTCTAAGACAGAAAAAAAAGTTGTCTGGAGAAAACCTGGGGAACGGTGAATGAGATACAGGAATTTGAGTATTTAAATACTGGGGGGGGGGGGGGGGGGGGAGGGGCATAAGCACCTTCTTTACACCTTTTTTCTGTCTTTGAAAAATCAGTTCTTCAACATATCAAAACATTTTTTCCTCTTGAGTCTGACTTTAATAAATAATAATGTAAATAATGTATTTAGAAAGTGATCTGTAAATATTTTTATCCTTTGCATTAACAGTATTGATAAACATTTTTTTTCCGACATAGATGGCATTTAATTTTTTTGCATCGTCAAACTCTGATGATATCTTCCGTGAGTATGAGAGAGAGCTCGTTCCATTGAAGAACATTGCTGCTGACAGAGGAGGCAAGATGGCAACGTAAGTAACTGACAAATGAAATATTGTGATATAATACTTTTAATTACATCAAATTGGTCTTAAATTCATAATAAAGATGCTTGTAAATATTAATTCATAGGCAACTGGTGCAAAGAAGTCCATTGAAACATCCAAACATAGTAACCTTGTATACAGCATTTGTTGATGATGAGTTCCCTCAGCTAGACTATATCCACAAACACCATCCAGCTTGTTTGCCTTCTGACCTTAACCCAGGTTGTGGCCTTGGTCGAAACATGACCTTGTTTGTTGCCATGAAAAGGTAAGTAATTATTAAAATTGGTTTTTTTTTTGTATACACACTCATTGGAAGTTGCCTATATTTCTGCTGCTGGGTTGTTAAACACACAAAACGCTGTTTTAGCAACTGGCAAAAAGTAGGTGTTACAGAAGAATTGCCATATCCATTCAGTTGCCAATGTATTATTATTATTATTTATGCAATGTGATACAACTGACAGTGAATGTGACATTTTAATGAAGGTGTGAGATAGCACTATATTGCACCGACAGTGATGTCTAAAACAGCTAGGCCCACCCTTGTGAATAGCAATGAGTTGCTCATGATGTAAAGAATGGACAAAGAATTTGCAATCGCTGTGTTTATTGACCACTGTTTACAGATGAAAGGTTTTAGAGTACATGATTCTCAATTCTTAGTGGCTGCTGAGGGGAGGGTGTTTATGGTCACCCAGCAGCAAGAAAAACCAATAGCAGAACAAAGGGTGGATGAGCTCCTCGGAGTCAACGGCCAACCATTAATTAGTTTAAGGAATAGGAGTAGTTTAG